GCTAGACTTTTACTAAAATACCCCCAGGGTAGTGGCAAAATCTGTGCTAAAATCCAGGAATGATGCCATCCCTCTGCAAGAATTTTCATGTCCCTGACATTCTTGCCGATGGGACTCTTCTGTCCAGAACATTCTCCTTGATCACACACACCTGCAGAAGCCCCTAAAGACAACATCTGCCCTAGAAGGGCAACCGTCAACAGTGACACAGACAAACCAAACCAGAACCTCTTTTACTCTCTACAAGACAGTGTTTTCTGATAACCCTCTTTATCAAAAGTCCTCCTCCTATTCAAAATCCTAGCTCTGGATAATAACATCCAGGAGCCATTCTTCAGCTCTGCTGCTCTTGTCCCCTTCTGGTACAGGCAGTGTCCCCACTCCATTAGCAAACACTACTTCATAATACTCTTTCCTCGCACACATGGAGATAAATGGCGGCCGTGACAGTCAGTGAGTTGGTAGTGATTGATACATCCTCTTTTGGCAGTTGAAACATCATTGCTTAATCTTTTGAAAAGACATTCTTCTTAGAATAAGTTTACAAAGCTGAAGATGGAGAAGCTGCTCAAATACAGAAGAGCTTGTAGTTCAGCACATAATTTTATTTTAGAACCTTTTAAAGAAAATCCACACCGGCTTCTAGATGGGTGTCAAGTTGCGCTCAGAGCTCCTACGGAGGCAGGCAGGACACAAGACACACATTCAGAGCCATAGTGAAAACTGGTCACCTACAACCTACTACTTCTTCACCATTAAATCGATAGTACCATAAGGGAAGTATTCATTTAGAATAGAAAGCGCTACAAAATCAGATTTATCCAGACATCTGTAAAAAGAGCCCAAGGAGGATGACACCACAAAAGGGACATTCGTCCAGGTTTCGTACAAGTAAGCTGAGAGATACCAAGGTGAAGGGCAAATGTCATGTTCATTCCTTATTTTGAGAAAGACATACAGATTTGAGAAACAATTTTCTTAAGAATGCTGTCTGAAGTACTAGTCTGAATTATAAATCACACTATACCCTGAAGCCTACTTAATAAAGAAGAAGTTGAAAATAAACAAATGATTAGTTTGAGGTACGTGCATTTCTGAACTCTCTTAAGGGAGAAAGTTTTATTGCCATTATTAGTGAACTATTTTTAATCTCCAACATCAAAGCACAGACATTAACCCTGTGGTTCTGAAACCAGAATAACCCATATGTGAGAAACTATCACATACTAACATTAGTCTGTTTGTCAGGTCTTAGCCAATTCACAGGTGATACCATGAGTAAAGAGAGGTACAGGGGAGGAATATGAAGACTTAGAAGACCTAGGTTCAAGTTCAACCCCATAGGTATGGATAATATTTAGCAAACTGATTCATCTTGCCTGACTCAGTTTACTTAACTGAGGGTCCATGGATAAAATATGGAGGTAAAGCCCTTTATAAACCTCAAAGTACTGTTTTAAACGTTCAGCACTGACTCCGAACACCTGCATTTCTCATAGTCTTGGAGAGTTGCAAAACTTTAGGGTTGAAAGGTCACTGCATTTGAGGGATGATAATGATGAGAAAACCAAGTCCCAGAAAAGTTGAAGAATCTTGCACAGGAAACACTTTTATAAACTGGTAGGGGTTGAGGGAGGGTCTAGTTTTTTCACCAGTGAAATACTCACTTTGATAGTTTAAAAAAAAAACAATCCTAGAACTAAAATTCCTCCTCAGACACACACACACAGTCCTGGCCTTACAATGGCTTGGCTTATCATTTTTTTTTGACTTGATGATGGTGTGAAAGTGATTCACACAATAAATTACATGAGATATTCAGCACTTCATTATAAAATAGGCTTTGTGTTAGATGATTTTACCCACCCGTAGACTAACGGTAGTGTTCTGAGAACATTTAAGACAGGCTAGACTAAGATTATGTCAATTCATGTTCAGCTGGTTAGGAGTATTAAATACATTTTTGACTTGTGATTTTTATTTTAGTTTTTAAGAGATTTTATTTATTTTTAGAAAAAGGAGAAAAGAGGAAGAAAAAGGGAGAAAGAAACGTGGACTGTCAGTCTCCCCGCACATGCCCCAACCAGGGACCAAACCTGCAACCTAGGGAATCGAACTGGCAACACTTCACTTTGCAAAACAGCACCCAACTAACTAAGCTACACTGGTTAAGGCTGGACTTGTGATATTTTAAGCTTATGATGGATTTATCAGGATGCAACTCTATCATAAGTTGAGGAACATCTATTTATCTGTATAATTCCTCTGCTTTATTTTGCTTTTGTAAACTTTACTCCTGTAACTTAAAAGTTAAACTAAACTTTTCATCAGAAAGATAAAAATAAATCCAGTTCTCTGGCTATGAGATTCACAGCCTACTTTCAATCCAATGCAGAAAAAAACATTAACAATTGGGTTAGAAATATCTAATGAAAACATCACCATAACATTAACCTCCAGTTATGTTGGCAGGCATCATTAAAATATGGATTACTGTTCTATCAGCCTAGGGATACCGGTTTTAATGCTACCTGGGAGATCAAGAATTAATCAGCAACTTAGAAGGAAGGGGGTGTTGCCTAAAAATGGCCAATTTAATGGAGACAATTCTATTGTCTTTAAAATTGTGCCCCTGAGCACCCAGTATCAACAACCCACTATGGCACCAGAGAAATTGTGTGTGGTTAAAGAGACAATATGTTCTTTTTTTCTGCAAGCAGTTATGGGAAGCTGAAAAAGGCTGACTATGAATCAGTTATGTTTTAGTTCCACGGTGGACATAAATTATGATAATTTGGACATTCTGGTGGTTAAACCAGAAAGCAGGAAAACCATAGCTTCCAAGGCCCTGCAAAAAGTTTGTGGCAACCCAACTGAAAGACAGAGCCATGAGAAGTGCCCGCAACTTATTTCTGGATTTTCCTGACTTCACTAAAATCGACGACACTATTTCCCATCCCTTATTGTCAAATCACAACGGTCCGGAAGCCTGGACTGAGTTCACTTGGCAGGTAACTGGAGCAACCCTAGGAGGAAGTCCTGAAGGAAGTCAGATACCATATTTCCTTTTCTCCCACATACTTTTCATCTTAACGCCGTTAGGATATATTTTCCATGCGTTCTGACACCCACCAAGCGCCCTGGCTGACACAAACTTTGCAGAAACTGCCATAGTCTAAGGAAGGTCCCTTGTGAGATCCTTAAGTAGCTTAGATGAGTAAAACATTCAGACTACTATTATAATGAGCATGTCTCAGTGGCTCATAAATTCTTTCATTCCCAGCAATCAAGAAGCAGCTGTTAAAATCCAGGAATCCTCCTAGTAGCAGATCTGAAATACCTCCGAGCTTGCCAGAGAAGCTTCACAACCACTTTCTCTTCCTCCCTCTCTTTTCCCCATCCCCACCCCCCACTCCCATCACAGGAGTGCCAGCCTGGCAGGAATAAAGACGACCCAGGAAGGAAAAAAGAGAGAGAAAGGGTGGCGCGGGGGGTGGGGGGGGACGGGCGGGGGAGGGGGGGAGGTGAGAGAGAGGCCGATCTGGTAAAGCAGAGGTGCAAGCTCCCTTCATTTCCTCCACAGAGAAATACCAACTCTCTGTATCAACTAACCAGGTTTCTAACTTTTCTCTCCCATCCCACCGCCCTCTAAACACATTAGTAACTCCTGCAGTCTGGCGGTATGGTACTTCCAGAGTAGAGGCATCAGCCGTCCTAAGCCCTTTCCCCAAAGATCCTGAACGGGCACTTCCGTTCTGCGCCAGAGTTCGAGGCCCATCCCACGGGAAGACTCGGCTTCCCTTTACCTTGTAACCAGTCCAGACGGCGCCGCCGCAACTCGGGTCAAGTTCAAGATGAAGGTGCCCTCCTAACCTCCCCGAGCTGACTCTCTAACCAGGAACAGCGCTATTGAGACGATTCCCATCACTCCAGGCACGGCGATCTGGGGCAGGAGTGGGCCGGAGGGAAGACCGCGTCTGAATCGCGCGTTCTCCGACTCCCAGGTTGCGGCGCGTGTTTTCTACCTGGCCACCGCCGCATTTCCTCCCGGAGCCTTATACAATAAGTCAAGTTAGTTTCCAGAACGCCGGGTCCAGAGACGCTTCGGCAGGCAAACACGACACACAATGCCTAGGGCTTCCTTCCCGGCCAGCCGTCCCGGAAAGCTGCCGCGCCAAAGGGGGGAGCCCCGCACACCCCCAGCATTGTGTGCCTGCACCCGAAAGTCTTTTAGGAAGAAGGTGCGCCCTGGCATAAGTACCCCTAAAGTGACTACTCTCCACTCTCCACAAAGAACGCTTGATACAATTTTCATCTTTCTCAGCTCCCCCTTAACGTTTAATCCTACCTAGCTCATCACCCCCACCCCACCCCCCAAAAAAGAACGTGGATGTGCTAATCGCCGTGTTCTTGGAAGCAAAGCAGTAGACTTTCAGCCCAGACTGTGGTATTACGACACCACCCCACACCGGCTGAATTCACCCGGCAACTTCGCGACCCGCGCTCCCCTAGACTCCGGGCACCCTGAGCCCCGCGGTAGCAGGCGCGCCTCTCCGCCGCCTCCTCCGCCCCAGGTACCAGGAGCTGCCCAGGCCTTTGCCAAGCCCGAGGGCTACAGAGGAGGCGAGAAAGGGGTCAAGGGGGCGGGTAGGGGTGGTCTCGAAACCTGAGCGTGCCGTCACGCGTCCCCTGTGCCCCCGAACCCCGGTTCGGTCCGGCGCGGAGGGGACGGCGAAGGAAAGGCGCAGACTCTCCAGAGCCGCCAGCACTAAGGCCCGGGCTGCACAACATGTCCGTGCCTATCCCCAGAAAGCTCCCGGGTGTGCCCAGAGAAGGGGGGAGGCGGCTCCAGGAACTTTCCCACATGCCTTTCCACTCTCCTCATCACCCTTTCTTCCTCTCCCCGGGACCCTCTACTCCCCTCTGCCCCCCCCCCCCCAAAGCTGGCCCGGCCCCAGGCGCTCAGAGGCCCCCCTTAGTGTCAGGGCAGCGAGAGTTACCTGCCGGGAAAGTTTCCAGCTCTTCGGCGCGATCCTCCACCCCCAGGGCTGGGCCTCGGGGCGCGGTCAGCGCGGCGCTCCTGCGCTGCCTCTTCTCCGGCTTCCGAGGCTGCCGCTGCTCCCGCAGCTGCCACAGCAAAGGCAAGGATCCCGCCGGTCCCCGCCCCCCCCCCCACGCCTCGCTCGGCCCACACCAGGGCCTCATTGGCAGCCCGAATCCCCGCCCTTGCGCGTGTTCCCGGAGGCACCTTCCTCTCGCGCGCCCGCCCGGGCCGCGCCTCCCCCGTCCCTCCCCGCCCGGCAGCGGCGGCTCCCGGGACCGGCCCCGCCGCTGCGCGCGAACTTTGGGCCCGGCGCAGCCCCTTCCCTCCCTACTTCTCCGGACCGAGTTCCTGGCATTCCCCAAGGTGGCCAGTCCCTCGGAGCTGAGCTTGGGCCACTCGAGGACTGGGTCAAGATAGGTGATAGTGGGGTTTTTTTCCCCCAGTCTCTTTGAAATCAGTGAAGTGACACGGCCTGTCCTCCTTACGGCCTTTTGAAAACAACTGAGGAGGACATATGGGAGCAATTAACAACCAGGCTAAGTTTTGGTGAATGGTTTAGGGCGACTTTGTGAGGCTGTCTTGAATTTTCTCTGCCTCGCTCCCCTCTCTCTCCCCCGACCCCCGCCCCCAACACACACACACTTTCTGGGGGCAAGAATGAGCTAGAGAAGGTGGAAGGTGTAGGGGGCATCTCTCCTGCAGTGTCCTTTTCTTTGCCGAAATCGAGTTACTGATGTTAAGGGAGCGGAGATTGCCTGGGCGTGCCCGGCCGGGGGTCTTCGGCCTCCTCTGACCGGTCCTGGCTGGCCCTGCGCTGCCTGTGCTACAACCGCGCGGGGCCAAAGACGTGCTTCCAAGGACTGGAGGAGGAGGTATGGAGCGGGGAAAACCACAAAAAAATGCTATTATTATTTCTGTTAGTAGCAGTAAATGAAATTCCCGAGGCCCAAAATTTGTTATTACTCAGCAGCGCTAGAGCTGGGATGGGGCCTATGGATTTAGGGGGCCTGGGCTCACCGGTTTCATCAAGAAATCCCAGTCAGCCGTTACAGGCTGGGGGGCTCAACCCACTCCACACCCAAACCCTTTACACTTTCCTTGGTCAACGAAGGATCAGCCAGGACGACAGCTGCTTTGTGTGGCCTGCCGGAATTGTGCACAGGTCACCCCCATGGTGGGTCTGGAGCAGGGAATCCAGAAGTTGCTGTAAATGGATTTATTGGCAACCTCTAACCTTGCTGTGGCAAACCTGCCTTTAAAGACAACTGTTTTAAACAAGTTCCCCCATAAAAACTTCAACCTCACGCAGAGCTTCCCAATATAAAGATATCTGGGGAGGGAAGTGTCCATATTTAAAGTTCTTATGAAAAGGGAAAGAAAGCAAAATGCCACACGGTCATTCTACAGTAAAAGATGAGTGAAATTTGCTGGATTTTTCACCCCTAGTTTCAAAGGCATGATTATTACTGGGCTGCTGTTTGAGCAGTAAGCATCAGCAGCAGCCTTGAAGTCTTCCTGTAGCAAAACAGAATATGAATACTTAAGATAAAATACAAAGTTATTAAACCAGAAAGGCTATGGACTCATTTCTTCACTCTGAAGTGCATCGTTGCTGGAAAACATGGTAATAGGTTTTATTTAGTTTTTCTTAAAATGATATGCATAAAGTTACCAGTCTTTGAACAACAGATGAAAAAGCCAGGCAGCAACCTTACTGATAAAAGCATGATACAAACAACAACAACAAAAACCGCCACAGATTTTAATCTGAAATATTAAGATATAAAAGAAACAATGCTAGAGAAACAAACTGGTACAATTCCCTACCTCAGACTACTTTATAATGGGTGAAATGCATAGTGGGTGCAATTTATCATTTGTACAATATCATGTTCTGTCTCTGGCTCTTCTAAGCTATATTCTCCAAGTTTTTGATGAAATTGCTTTGTTAAATTGGGCTTTGAAAACAGTGAAACTCATTCCCCCCTGCCCCCCACCTCCATCTTCAGAGCTCCCTCAGTAGCAAGTAGAAAAATACAGAAAGTAATTATGTTAATTACCAGCATCATCTTTAGATTAGTTGAAAAAAATTGTCTTTATAGTTTCAGAAGTCACAGTCACTAAAGAAGTAACTTCATCACCACCTAGTTGGGAGTGTTTAACATTCGAAACAGGCACACAGCTCGCAATCTGAAATTTGCACACAGCCGGGCCCTGCCTCCCCTTCCTCTGTAGTGTTTATACAATACAGACTCCATTACGCACAGTCTGATCTCCAGCGCTAACCAGCTAACATTACATACAGTGTGTCACACTAAGAACATCAAAGCTGTCTGAAGCTGTGAGTGAAAATGGTACATTTTATAGAAGAACAGGCCAAGAACACAAAGTTATAAAGATTTGTGGGTAAGGGGAAACAGGGGATCCGTTACAATCAAGTCTGTAAGAAAATATTTGAACATTTTGTAAGCATCTGAATACAGGGTGAGGCAAAAGTTGGTTTACAGTTGTTTACATGGAATATAATACAATAATTAAAAAAACAATAAGAATAACCTCTGTTTTGCATACTCACAACTATAAACCTATTTTTCTCCCACACTCTATGTCAAGTGTTAGCTGAGCACAGGTTCAAAAAACAAACTTTAATGCTTTTTAAAAATCTGCTTTTCCCTTTACAAATATGATTCTTTTAGTTAATTATTAGGTGATGGTTTATTTGTATTTTTAGGGGTAGGGAGAGCAAGAATCACTTCTTGCTTTTCTTAGGGAACTTCCACTCATCCAATTCAATATCAAAATCTCACTCATTACATTTCTGTTGATTCCGTTTGGAAAAAAAAATTTTAAAGCCCTGACTGGTGTGGCTCTGTGGGATGGGGCAGGGTGGCAGGGGAGCGACCTACCACACACAAAGTGTAAGGTCACCAGTTCAAATCCTAGGCAGGGCATACACCTGGGGTTTCGGGCCAGGTCCTTGTTTGGGGGCGTTTGAGAGGCAACCAATCGATATTTCTCTCCCTTTCTCTCTCTCTTTCCCCTCTCTATAAAAATAAATAAATAAATAAATAAATTTTTAAAATTAAGAGAGAAAGAACACATAATATTCCATATTGAACACACTCACCAAACATACATACAACATACTGGATTCCATTTAAATTTTCTGTCAGTTTGCCAGCAGTTTACCTTTTCACAGCAGAGTGAAAGAAAACAACAAATAATGAACTGCTTATTTTACCTTACAATTTACTGCCCAAGGCAATAGGCTGAGAAAGACGTGAGAAAAGAAGTGAGAAAAGAATGTGACTCGTGCCTGTTAGAATGCTCCTACCCTTGCTCAGATTCTTAAGATTTTAAATCAAGCCTAACTTAGGATCATAACCAGTGGTTATTATGGTATGTGTAGTATAGAATACATAGTGAGAAGCGAAGTGTTTGAAACAGTGTAGCAATTAAAGACAGAAAGTGAGACAGAACTAAAAAGAATTAAGACAAACTAGGAAAACGACTCAAAACAATTCAGCCCACAAATACTTTTTGCCTAATTTGGGATGTCTTTTAATGTTTACAGAATTAATTCTGCTTTGGTCCATTCAATCCTCCTTTCCCTTTTAACACTTGGGGGAAGAAAATGATGTTTCAAAGACATGGGGAATAATGAAATGGGTTCTAGTTAGAAATCACTTGGGAGAAGCCGGGAAATTACAAACCCTACACAGTGCCTGCGTGTGTAACGAGCCACAGTCACACGTGTGTGCCCACAGCATGGTCTGAAGTGGACCGATGGCAGACATTCATTCGTCTAGGGACATGGAAAGCCATAGTTGTGCACAGTTAGCGAGGCAGTTAAATTAAAAGAGTCATCTAATGAGACACAAAAACCCCTCTGCAGGTCTAGCATATGGTCTGCCAATATTGTAGAAACTCATCCAACAGGGGCTCGGTGGTGAATTATTTAAACAGATAAGAATTCCTCTGTGGGGAAGAAGTAGGGAGATAGATTCGGGGGTTCACATTTCCTTATAAGAATGTAGGCGTAACTAAAATCCTGGGAGAATCTGGTTTAAGATGGCATGCCATCTGACCAGCATTTTAAACATAGATTTAAAATTTCTATTTCCCCTGTTCAGGAAGGGGTGAGGTAATGCAATCAGGTAGTAATCCTTACAATAAATGTTGCTGGGTCGAGCCAAGATGGCTTAAAAAGAAACGTGCCATTTAACTTTGAGTATAATAAATGCATTTTAATATCTCCACCCTGGGAACGGTGCTTCCCCTTTTTTTTGGTAAGCTGTCCAAAAGGGCACTCACCGCCATAGGAGTCATGATATCTAGACTCCAGTTCTGACTTTGGCAGCTGTTGTTTGCACTTCCTGGCAGTTCTTCTAGACCTTCTGAGCCTCGGGCCCCTGCTCTGGGAGATAGGAGGACAGCATGGAACGTCTGCCTCACAGTTTTGTCAGAAGGACTAAACAGAGTAAGATGAAAAGCACTTAACAAATTAGAAAACACCCGACAGAAGCTAACTTTTATTTACTAGATAAGAAGCTATGTTCTCCCCTACCTGTTACCTGGGACCACTTCAGTTGCAATAACAACCTAAAGGCTTCATTGGAGCAGTCCAGAACGCCACGTTCACCAAATGTGGAAGGAAGAGAGCCTTAAAGATGATTTAGTATAGATAATAACCCCAATGAAGCTCTCAGGCACTCATCTGGAGGTAAATTGGCAGTTCTTGCCTCAAACAGTGGCAGTCAGGAGCCATTTACAGAGTTACATTTTTCTCCCATGTTCGAGTTAAAGAGAAAAAATGGTAATGCATAGACAATACAGGTGTATCTCATTTTATGCAAGTTGACATACAAAAATTCCTAATTACACAATATACTAACTTAAAGGAAATGTTTTCTTTAAAACATTCTTGCTGAGATTTTTGCAATTGCCACTACAATCCTATTTACATTTTTAATTACTAACCATCCTTTTAATTCTGTGAAATAGTGCTGATGACATTAATGAGCTTGAACCCACACCTATATTTTCTGCGCAATCAAGCACTAGTCAAAACTCTTTTGCTGCTGTGTAATAATCTGA